GCGCTAGCCTTGAGCTGAAGAGCTGAGGGACAGCGTCCAGGCCCAGAGTTCAGGCCTCACGACCGAACCCAAAAAAAAATGGGCTTGTTCAGACTGGTCTGCAGGGAATGTGCTAGAGATGAAATCAACCAGACTGGCTGGGAAGGTGGCTCAGTGGTAGAGTGCTTCCCTTGCATGCTTAAGGCCCTGGGTTCCATTTCTCAGCACCACATAAGCAAAAAGAAAAAAGCTGGAAGTGGCACTGTGGATCAAGTGGTAGAGCGCTAGCCTTGAGCTGAAGAGCTGAGGGACAGCGCCCAGGCCCAGAGTTCAGGGCCCATGACCAACTCCCCCCCCAAAAAAAATCAACCAGGAGCTTCCTCAACTTCCTTGACTTTTTTAGGTGTTCCATCAAGCGGGCAGCTCTGTGACTGTCCCAATATCTTTTTGGAGGGTGGAAGTGGGGGTGAGGTTCCATTTTTTCTCAGGGGCTGGGGCTACGATGTTCTACTGGACTCTGGTCTTCTCTCATTCCCCTTCCTCCTCCTTCCCTCCCTCCTAGCCAGAGAACCTCCTCTACTACAGCCTGGATGAGGACTCCAAAATCATGATCTCCGACTTTGGCCTCTCCAAGATGGAGGATCCGGGCAGTGTGCTCTCCACAGCCTGTGGGACCCCAGGATACGTGGGTGCGGAGAGCCCTGGGCTGAGGCTGAGGGCAGGGATGGCACTGGGAGTGGCAAAGGGGGAAGTTTATCACCAATATCTCCCCTTTCTTCCACAGCCCCTGAGGTCCTGGCCCAGAAGCCCTACAGCAAGGCCGTGGACTGCTGGTCCATTGGGGTCATAGCCTATATCCTGTAAGTGGGGCTGTGTCCCAGGCCAGGTGTGGCGCCACCGTTGTCCTTTCTCATGCCTTCCTCTCTTCCTCCCCTCCTCTCCTCCGCAGCAGCGTCCACCTATTACTAACATCTCTTCCTTCAGTAGAAATGCCTTGGGCCACTGTACCAAGCACTAGGAGTTAGAACAAGGACCTGACCTTGGGGAACTGGCAGCATAGCTGGGGAGACAGAATTGACAAGAAATCAAAACCTTAGCCTACACAAAGCCTGAACATTAATCTAAACATGAGCTGGTGGCTCACACTTGTAATCCTAACAACTCAGAAGGCTGAGATCTGAGAATCCTGGTTCAAAGATAACCTGGGCAAGAAAATCCATGAGGCTCTTGTCTCTAATTAGCCACCAAAAACTGGAAGTGGTGCTGTGGTTCAAGGTGACAGAGTGCTAGCCTTGAGCGAAAGAGCTCAGGGACAGTGTCCAGGCTCTGAGTTAAAGCCCCAGACTGACCAAATAAATAAATAAGAAAAAAGAAAAGCTGGGCACTGGTGGCTCACGCCTGTAATCCTAGCTACTCAGGAGGCTGAGATCTGAGGATCGTGGTTCAAAGCCAGCTCGGGCAGGAAAGACCGTGAGATTCCTGTCTCCAATAAGCCACCAGAAAACTGGAAGTGGCGCTGTAGCTCAAAGTGGTAGAGTGCTCGCCTTGAGCTGAAGAGCTGAGGGACAGCGCCCAGGCCCAGAGTTCAAGCCCCACGACCGACAAAAAAGAAAAAAGAAAATCAAAACATTAATGAAGCCAGACTGAAGGTGTGGCTCAAGTGGAAGAGTGCCAGCCAAGCAGGCAAGCTGATCAAGTTCAAGGAACTGAGTTCAAACACTGTACTGGCAGGCCCAAAAAAAAAAACAACAGTGATAAGAGCAGGCGGCAAAATGAGGGGCAGGGGGTGGTAAGTATTTCAGGTAGGCTCAGGGAAGGAAAGGTCTTCAGTGGAGCTGGCGTTTGGCATCCTGAGTGGAAGAGGAGGAAGAAAGGTTCAGCAGAGAAAATCAAGTGCAAAGGCCTCGAGGATTGCAAGGCGGGAGGTGTGGAGGGCTGGCAGTCAGGATGGGGCAGGAGGGAGGGGAGAGGAACCGCCTTCTTATGGGTCCTGCCTGACCCCTGGGACTGCCCACGAGTCATCCCAGAGCTGGTGAGAACGGAAGTGAGCACCAGTCTCTCCCTGCCCAGGCTCTGCGGTTACCCCCCCTTCTATGATGAGAACGATGCCAAACTCTTTGAACAGATTCTGAAGGCTGAGTACGAGTTTGACTCTCCTTACTGGGACGACATCTCTGACTCTGGTATTTGGGGCTTTGCCTTCTTCCCTTGGGGGTCCTGTCTCTGCTTCTTCTCTGTAGTATCTCCCAATCGTCTCCCTTCTAGCAGATTCCCTGGCCCCAGAGTAGGAGCCTTCTGAGATCAGACACTGCTACCTCCAGTTTCCCTCTGCTTGGCCCCCAGTCTGACAGACTTGTAGGCATTTATTCACTCAATCTTCAAACACTGTATTCTTTAACAAGTAAATAGCAATCCATCAGGAGGGGAGGGCCTAAAGAGGCGTCCCAATAAACATCTTTTTAAGAAAGGAGAAAGCCTGAAGCCTGGGTTGGGAGGGCTTCAGAGGTGGACCAGGGTGGTAGATGGGCAGATCTGGCCTGGCCTCTCTGTCTTGCTTTGTGGCCCGGCCCAGCCTGCTGGAGGGGTGGGGGGAATGGTTCCACAGGCACCACTATGCTGTCTTGGCTTTGGTTCAGCCAAAGATTTCATCCGGCACCTGATGGAAAAGGACCCAGAGGAGCGGTTCACCTGTGAGCAGGCCCTGCAGCACCCATGGTGAGAAACGCCCCCCACCCCCCCCAACAGGCTGCGCACTGGGCTGTGGCCTGGGACCCTCCCAGGACTACCCTCTGAGCTAACCCTCCACCATCTCCACTTAGGATTGCAGGAGACACGGCTCTGGATAAGAATATCCACCAGTCTGTGAGCGAGCAGATCAAGAAGAACTTTGCCAAGAGCAAGTGGAAGGTGAGCAGCCATGCCCTTTCTGCCCTGGCTCCCGGTCTCCCAAGGACTCCTTGTCCGCCCCCATCTAGGCCCAGCTTGCATGGCACCTGGAACCAAATCCAGCACACAAGACTCTGAAGGACTTCCTTCATTCACTCATTCATTCAACTAATGCTCCTGGACATCTACCCAACTTCAGAGGGTCTTTGGTGGTCAATACATCTATAACATCCTTCTACAGGTTGTAACACACCTCTTACAGACCATAATAGTGAGTAATCTATGTTACAGAATAGTCTATATTTTCCAAGAAGCATCTGGGCTAGTCTTTGAGGGCCTAGGAAGGCCCTAACTGTGGCAACTGACAGACTTGTTACTCAAATAGGAACTAGCCAATCACAAGCAGTATGTCTGAGGTAGAGGGACGAGGTATGCAAAGGCCCCTGTACTAGAGCTGCTGAGGGTAGAGTGGCAGGAGCCCAGGGTGGAGAATCTGGCAGGGGTCAGGCCTGCAGGGCCTTGCGTCCCACAATGGAGGAGCAAGCTGATGCTGCGGGCTGAGCCCCCGGGGAGCGTGCCTGCAGCAGGGCTCTCAGGAAGCCGTGAAGGCCATGGAGGAGACTGGGAGACCCAGGAGGAAGCTGCGCCGAAGCAGGCAGGATGGCAAGCCATGACCCCCACGGGGTAACAGAGCAGAGGGCCTTGGCGGTGTAGAATCACAGGAGGCAAAGACGGAAGATGGCAGCAGGCTGAGGGAATCAGGCAAGAGCGAGGGCTGCCCAACTTCCAGCGAGGACTGAGGACAATGGTACCAGGGCTGACGTGCGTCTCGGGAGGTTGGTTTGTTCTGAACTTGGGGGACATGAGGAATATATTGCTGAGGGAGGAGAGCTGAAGAGAAAGTGGTAGTCACGCAGGCACGTGTGTCTATGCCTTAGTGTCCTTTTTTGAAGTTAGTGGTATTAATGGTACCTGCCTCAGAGTTTTCTTCTTTTTTTTTTTTTTTTGGGGGGGGGGTCTGGTCGTGGGGCCTGAACTCTGGGCCTGGGCGCTGTCCCTCAGCTCTTCAGCTCAAGGCTGAAGAGCCACAGCGCCACTTCTGGCTTTTTTCCTTTTTGCTCCTGTGGTGCTGAGTGCTCTACCACTGAGCCACCTTCCCAGCCCCTGCCTCAAAGTTTTGTAAATATTAAATTACCATGTAAAGTGCTTAGAACTGTGCCCACGACATAATACGACAGTGCTTTTCTTTTTTTTGGGTCCGGTTGTGGGGCCTGAACTCTGGGCCTGGGCGCTGTCCCTCAGCTCTTCAGCTCAAGGCGAGTGCTCTACCACTTGAGCCACAGCGCCACTTCCGGCTTTTTTTTCGCTTATGTGGTGCTGGGGAATTGAACCCAGGGCCTCATGCATGCAAGGCAAGCGCTCTACCACTGAGCCACCTTCCCAGCCCCTGCGACAGTGCTTTCTACACATGAATTGTGTCTGCATGTGCACCTTGTATGTGTATGTGCATGCATAAATTCATAAAATGACTGTAAGGATCACCTGTAAATCCATACGACTAGCTGCAACTTACCAAAGCTTTGTAGGTCTGGAGGGGCTCCAGGGAAATCACTAACACCTGTGTGCCACACCCTGCCACATCCTGGCCCACCAACTTCCCCATCCCCAGAAGTCTCTCTCCTCTCTCGGCAGCAAGCCTTCAACGCCACAGCCGTGGTGCGGCACATGAGGAAGCTGCAGCTGGGCACAAGCCAGGAAGGGCAGGGGCGCGCAGCAAGCCACGGGGAGCTGCTGACACCAACCACTGCAGGTGAGGGGCTCGGGAGCATGCAAGGGCTAGATGGTGGCCCATGAGGAGGCACCAGCCCGGAGTGGAGGGCTGCCCCCCCCAACTCTGTCCTTGCTCCCATGCAGGACCCGTGGCTGGCTGTTGCTGTCGAGACTGCTGTGTGGATCCCAGCCAGAAAGTGCCCCCCACGCTGCCCCCGCAGCTCTAGGGTGGAAGGCAGCCCTCCGCTTCCCTGGCCCATCCCTCCCCACCCCCTCCCTCTCCCTCCTCACTGCATTTTCCATACAAAGGTTTCTATTTTATTGTTCCTTCTTGTAATAAAGGTAAGAAGATAAAATCACAGTCAGCTCTGTCTCCCCTTGCTGTGTCACCCTGAGGGAGCTGCAGAGATCCTTCCCCAACAGGAGACAAGAGGTGTGGATGGGAGAAAGAAGCAGAGGTGTGGAAGTGCTGGGGAATTCCTTTCTCTCATGTCCCATCTAAACTTCTGGCCCTTTGGACGCTTTCCGGCGCTTTGCTGGTGGCTCTTGGGCACGGTGGGTGGGCTGGCGCAAGTCGGCACTGAACAGCACCTGTGCGGGGGAGGGGCTTGTGTGGGGAGGAGGAGCCATTAGGGCTAAGGCTGGGGATGGGGTGGAACGGAAGAGTCATGAGGTCAGGACTGGGGTGGCTGCAGAGTTGTGATGGCATGGGAGATTCATGGAGATGGGTCAGGGCTGAGGAAGGGTGTTAGGGTCTGGGCTAGAGAGGAGGGGAAATTGAGGTACACTCACTGCTTGGGCCCAGCCAGCATAAGGTCCCCAAAGGCTCCGGAAAAAGTTTCCTAAATCAAAAGAGGTTACAGTAACTGGCCCCCCCGCCCCCCCCCGCCCCATCCACCATGGTGGTGTGGGGGAGCAGGAACCACGCCCAGCACCCCTCTCCTCACCCAGCTCCTTGTTAGCTTGGGGGTTTGGACCCTTGGCCCGAGATGTGGTGGGGTGCCAGCTGTAGTCCCGTTGGGCGATCTGCCACATATGGACATCCACGGGCACAGCCTGGGGTTTGTCCAGGGCCATCAGGCAGACGCAGTCAGCCACCTTCAATAAGCAGAGTGAGCCACTGTGGAGGGACGCCAGGGTGCGGCTAGCAGCGGCGTCCTCACCCTGCGGTCAGCACTGTTCTGGAAGGAAGCTCACTCAGTGTTCACCTGCTATGCATCCCAGGAGGAATCTGAAGAGTTGCCACTGAGTGGACACCTCTGTGGGACCAGTTCTTATCAACCTGGGAAAAGGAGTCAGCGCACACATCTCACACAAGCTCCAAAATGTCATGTGCCTTGGCTATAGTCCCACGGCTGGGGACAGGCACCAAGATTTAAAGCTAGGTTGGAGTGTGGAGCTCGGTTTTAAAAAAGTTCTTTGGGAGCCGGGCACTGGTGGCTCACGCCTGTAATCCTAGCTACTCAGGAGGCTGAGATCTGAGGATC